AACGTGAATTTCATTCCAAACATGCTGGATGTCAATGTAGGTTCATCAGTTATAACACGTGTACCGTCTGGTGGTGGATATTGGTAAGCGGGAGGCTATGCATGTGGGGCTAGGGAGTATATGGGAAATCTCTTTACTTTCCTCTTGATTTTAATGTGAACCTAAAATTATTTTTTTTTAATAAATCTTTTAAAAAAGGGGTCAAGAATAAAATCACACCCTATCAAATAAACATGCCATGGAGAAGGAAATGGCAACCCACTCCAGTATTCTTGCCTGGAAAATCTCATGGACGGTGGAACCTGGTAGGCTACAGTCCATGGGGTCGCAAAGAGTCGGACACAACTGAGTGACTTCACTTTACATGTTCACATCATTGCCTATTCGTATTGCTAATTGGTAATATTGCCTTATATATTCTAAAAAGTAATCATTTTTCTTTATAATTGCAATAAATAGTGTCTTTCAGAAAAAAAAAAAAAAAATAAACATGCCAAAGAGGACACCTATTGAATCTTCTGTCCTGAAGCATAAGGATTACAAGAGCAGAAAACACTATTTAAGGTGAACAGAGTCCCAGAGAGAGACCAATGCCTGCAAGGCAAGGAAGTGGCTAGGTATTAGGAATAGCAGCCACAGATAGCAGTCAGTGGCTGAGTTTAGAAATGTATCCTAAGCCCAAGTCCGTGGACTTCAGCTTGCTGATTTAGACCAGGGATTGGCAAACTCTGGCAAGCAGGTCAAACCTAGCCTATAGCCTATCTGGGTATGGCCATGATGGGTTTCAAATTTTTAAAGGGTGGTAAAACACACATACGTATATAAGAATACGCAACAGACACTACATTTGGCCTGCAATGTCTAAAATATTTACCATCTGCCATTTTATTATCTGTCCCCCACGAGTTTACAGAGAACTGCCAACCAAGTGTTCCTCTCACTTGGCTCCAGGGCTGTGGACAGAGATGCTCTCTCTCAGAGGTTTCCTACTGACAGAGAAGGGGTGGGACAAGCATCACTGCAGAGAGAACATGTTCCACAGACAACGGGGAAGGGGACCATTTAAGAGGGTTACTCTGAAGACAAATGATCTCTTAAGTGACTCTGGTCTAGCCAGGAGTGACATGACAATTACAGTGCTAAATTCATTCAACAAGCACTTATCTGTTCTGGTTCCAAGCAGTACAGCCTGTTATATTTTCTGCTTTGATAGCACAGGGAAAACTAGAAATAAATCTTGGAGGAGAATGTTCTGCCATTTTCACAAGTTATTCATCTAACAGTAATGCTTTTTAAATACCAGACTGGATAAAGCAGGTTTTATTCTCTTTACTGTAATTTATGACTCAGTTTTTATAGTCGTTTTGAAACAAAAAATGAATTCCCTTCCCCCAAGAAGGAAATTTTCCATTGACCAAACAGGTAAGAACTTACTATATAACCATAAAACCATGCTCCTGCGCGGATGACTTAAAGCCACAGCAAGTCCGCATTAGTTGAATCACTAAACAGTAAATAAGAACCTTAAGTAAAATGATAGAAATAAGTTTTATTTTTAATCTTCTGAAGTAAAAAAGCTGTTAACAAGACAGTTGATACCTGGTAACCTCATACAGAATTTTTTTTTCCCTTGAAAATGCACTTTCACTGCACTCTTTAGGAAACAGGCCAGAAGAAACTTGCATTTAGCAAGTTCTGTTAAGAACATTCTACCACATTCATGTTTTTCATGATGTTGGAAACACTGTTACATGGCAGTTTAACCTCTCTCTCAGAAGAAGAATTAAGACAATTGAAATAACTAGTTCTCTAATCTTTAGTTCTGTTTCCACAAATAAAATCTAATACTTTTCACAATGAGAAAGTAAAAAATAACATAAAAACAAAACTAGCCAACCTGAAATCATTTATTCCCTTTATCCAGATAACAGGTTGATAACAGGAGATCCACAGAAGAATATGTTGGTGATTCTTCTTTAACCACTTACCTAACTCTGGGTCGAAGATAATAAATAACAGCAATGTACAATCCATAAGCGTATATAAATTCTGTATCACATTTTCCCTATTTTCTAAGGAAAGAAAACAGGTTTGATGTGTAAGAGGAAGAGCAGTGAAAAACACTGCTAAAAGGCAGTTTTGCTGTCATCACTGCTTACTCAAGAAGTACCCACATTAACCTTCTAGTAAAATAGCTACTGCCTATGACCCAAAATGTGATACGTGATTCTAAGGTGATTCTAAGTAAACATGCTTAATGTAAATGAAAAGCAACATTCCTTTTTAAGTAAAAATTGCCACTCTGTTTTTGAAACTGAAAATATAAGAGTAAGGTAAAACAGCAAATTCGTGTGTTGAGACAATTATTTACCATAATCAATTCAAGTATAACCTGGAAGTTCTCAAATTATTTATTTTCCACTCAGGCAAAGACACTTAGGCCACCGCAGTCATTTCCTCGTCTGTGTCACTTGACTCATCTTTCAGTTCCAATTCCCCTAAATCTCTGTCTAGAGCTGTCACAGCTTTCTTCTTACACTTCTTGGGCACTGCATCGCTAGCACAGCCTTTTCTCATTTTAATGTTTGGCAATTTCTTCAGATCAAAATCCCATTCCATAGACAAAAGAGAGAATGCAGAAAGTTGGTGAGGTGGGGAATGAAATCAATATTCAAAACTATGCAGAAAAAAGTTTATAAATTTACAGCAGACTCAAATGTGCTAGACGGAAACAATATAAATGCACCAGGAAAAAAAAATGTCCCCAAAACTAAGGTTTGCATTTTCCACACTTACCGTACTCTCTCCCTCATCTATAGTATGTTATAGTTGCTCACTCACGTCTGACACTTTGCCACCCCATGGACTGTAGCCCGCTAAGCTCCTCTGTCCATGGGATTTCCCAGGCAAGAATACTGGAGTGGGTTGCTGTTCCCGTCTCCAGGGGATCTTCCTGACCCAGGGATCGAACCCAGGTCTCCAGCACTGCAAGCAGATTCTTTACCATCTGAGCCACCAGGCAAGCCCCATTAATCTATAATAGCAGTTAACTGCCCAGGGAATTTCACATATTCAAGATTTTCAAAACAATGCAGGAAAACATTAGGTAGAAGTTACAAGGAGGCTGTTCCTTTCTTTCATGTTTCTTAACCTGAACACTTCCCTCTGTCAGGACACACGGTGTCAAGAAATCTCAAAAGCAGGAACTATACCACACTGGAAAATCTCCAAAATGCAGAGTCAGAAAAGGTTTTTCTCTTCACACACAATGGTAAGTCACAATTAAGTTTCAGCAATCAAACAATTCTTGTAACAGAAAACTTCCAGTTTTTCCAACCTCAGCATTTCTGTGACAATCCTATGTTCACTTACTTTGGGAGCAAAATGAAGACTGTTTTGAGAAATGAACTCTAGCTAGATAAAAATACTAACAGTCTATGCTAATTTCTTCTCATTTTTGGCTTTCTTTGGAGGAGGCAGAATCTATACCAGTTTACTGAATAAAGGGAATACTTATATATCTGACTACTTAATATTGCAGGCAAAAACATTAACATCTGAAAAAATCTTAAGCTGCATGTACTTACATTATAACTACATGTAAATGAGTTAAAAAGTGAACCACTTCTTAAATACGACTGATAAATTTTATGAGCTGAGATTTTATGAATATTAAGTATTTTCTATAAATTCAGAAGTATAATAATATAAAATAAACTTAAAGGTTTTAAATAATATGGACTTAATTTATCTAATTTCGGTTAAAATTTCAGGAAGTATTTTCTATAAATTCAGAAGTATAATAATATAAAATAAAGGTTTTAAATAATATGGACTTAATTTATCTAATTTCAGTTAAAATTTCAGGCTGATCAACATGACCTACCTAAGGTCAAAGTGATTAATAAAAATTATTTTCTAAAGAAAAATAATTTATGTTTGAAAACTAAAAACTGGAAATCCTACTCACTGGTCTTTCTGCTCACAGAGTACTATTAGAGAGATCACTGGGTCACCTGGTTCTTCCTGATTCCCTTCACACCAACTAACTTCTCCAGAAGGAGGTGCTGCAAACAGTCTGGGAATGGGTCTCTGAGCCATCAAGTCTGCTGCTGACAGTTTCTTTCTTTCTTTTTTTTTTCACATAACAGAGAGGAACAGTGACATCATGTTCTTTTAAATACTATATTGAAGAATTTTGAAGTATTTTGTAAAACAAAAGCACTAGGACACTATCATTTCAGGCATTTCTAACAAATGCAAGTTAGGAAAATTCTTACTTATCTCATGAAAGAGAGGTTAAAAAGAACCCCTGAATACTCAAAAGGGAAGAAAGTTTATCTATCATGTATTTTACATGCAGCTTTAAGGAAAAAAAAATGCAACAAACTCACCTAAAAGTTTTCAGATTATCTGCATTTAAGATGTCTGGAATCTCTGGAAAAGAAAATATATTTATTAGGTAAAGTCTTCTATTACAGTATTTATAGTTTCTTCCTTTACTACCTCAGGAAGAAAAAGAAATAACTGACAGACAGAAGAATGCCCAAAGCAAAACAAACTTTCAAAGCATGATTACAAATCTACAATGAAAAGAAGTTTCGAAAGTATAAAGGACTTATTTTAATAAGAAGGTGATTAAAAAAAACCAACACTATTAAATAATGTATTCTAAAATAGAATCTATAAAATGAAATGAATCTGCAACAAAAATGTTTGACCTTTACAACAGCTTCGGAAAATAAGAATGTGAGTGAGGAATGGCTATACCAAACAGGGGCAAGACGGAGAGATGTTAGTACGTAGTCTTCACTGAATCTCACTGACAGCATCTCTGACTATTTGCCCATGTTTCTAGACGCCTGTAGACTTGTGTCACCACATTCCCTGGGCTGAGGCATAACCAGAACACAAAGTCTGAGATTTAGCACTGGCTTCACCACCAGTAGGGTGCCTGACCTGGGATGTGCTGTCCGTGACTGCTGCTCAGCCTGGCGGCTTCAGGTCGAGACTGAGCACAGAGCCGCCTGGGGAGGCCAGCGCGAGGGCAGAGCTGAGATCCGGGCGGCTCGAGCGCGGGCAGCGGAGCGGCAGCGCAAGTCCTCAGACGCCAAGTGCGTCCGGCTGATGAGCTGGACGTGGGGCCTGAAGTGTCTGCAGGACGGCGGGCGAGTGGTGATGTCCCTGACCGAAACACGGACTGCACAGAAGGAGCCAGTTTTAGGAGAAAAGCTGGGCTTTGCTTTGGGACATGCCGAACTGGAGCTGTCTAGAAGACATTCAAGCAGAGATTTTAAGAAACTCAAGTTTGAGTCTGGAGTTCTAGGGACAAGTTAGGATTGACAACATAAATTTGGAAGTCATGACATTCAGGTGGTATTTAAAAGCACAGGATTAGATGAGATATATGCAGGACCTGGTATAAACTGGAAAGACAAGAGGCCCAAGGACAGACATCCGGGCCAATTATTTAGTTTGTGAGGCTATGAGAAGGAGTTAACTTAGGAAACTGACATTATGGCCAGTGAACTAGGAGAAAAACCGGGGAAGGACAGCGGCTACTACCCCAAATAAAAAGTGTGACAAAAAACGAAGGGCTCATCTGTAGCAAAGGATGCCCAGAAGTTGACTAGGAGAGTCGGTACCCAGTACAGCTACCACCTGTCTTAGCAACTTAAACAGTTCATCAGCGGTGAGGACTGTGAGTGGTGGCTACAAAAGCCTAATTCAAGGGCTTCCAAAGAAAATGGAAGATGAAGAAATGCAGACTATAAGCACAAATTTAAGTGAAAGGACACAGGAGTGGTTGAAGCTTTCCCTCAATCCCTACATGTCACATGCAATCTCGTTTAACTTGTAAACGACCTGGGAAGGGGAGGTGTACGATCCATCTCTATTTTTAAATGGAAGGTAACAAGGCTGGGGAGTGGGTAAGAAGTAACTTGTCCTGTTCTACAGTAAAATGCAAGGGTCTCAGTACAGATCTAACCTGTTCTAAAGCTACTTTGTTTTTTTTTCCTCTTCTCTTTTTTTTTTTCCAGTAAAAAACCTCATTTGTTAGGAATGCTGAAGCGGAACCGCCATCTACTCAGGGTTCCGAGTGTTACTGAAGGTATAAGTGCCTGAAGTGACCCTTCTGACTGCGAAGACACCCAACACAATGAACCACTGCCAGCTTCTGACACAGCTGCAGAAAACAACTGCCCCACCCAATCAGAACACCGCAGGGTAACTGATCACTGGAGGGAACCCATTCTCCTTTCTGGCATCTTCATAAAGAGGGGGCCCCTGAAACCCTGGGCGCTCCACCTGTGACCCTTCCAATGGCAGGACCCCCGGCCCCTGCGTGCCCCCTCTTTCTCTACTGGAGCCTCACCGTGTGCCCCTCAGGGCACCTCCAGGACCTGCAAGCGCTAAATTTTGTGTTTTTCAAGGCTCCCTGCTGGGTGCTGCTGAAGTGCACCCTGCAGTCATAGTAAGAAACCGCCAGGTTTGGCCTGAGGGGAGAATGCCTGCGGGGGCCGCCCCAGCCTCTCCTGGATCGAGTGTTGGTATCGCCAGGGCTGGGACCTGCACAGCAGGAGGCAGCAGGATAACACCTCAGGCCCCTACTGTTATTACAGCTAAGAAACCTCATTTTCCTGTTAAACACTTCGTTTACTGTACTCTCCAAGCCAATCCACACCTGAGTGCCTACAGGGACCAGGCAGGGAACGCAAATGAAGGAAGGTCCAGGACCACGGAATGCTAAGTCTGAAAGTGATGGCTGCTGTTCTGCTCTAGCAGACAATGCTGTCAGACCGTATGTTTAACGGGCATCCGGAAATCTACGTTTTCCATGTGAACTCAGCAGATCTTTCCATACTGACAATTCCTACGCCAGTCGAACGCTGCTTGCAGGCCGTGAGCAGCCTTTGGGTTGTCCGCTGCCGGTGGGCTTTGCGGGCCCTGCAAGCGCCCGCTCCTCTCCTCCTGAGCACTCTTCTTCGGACAGCGCTGCTAGACGGACACACACGTGTCTTCAGGAACTGCAAGAAATGCTACACTGCTAAGAAAGAAAATTTGATTTCTGTAATTTCTCAAGAATGGCTGCAACAAGTATAGCTCTTTAATGTGACTGGAGACAGGCAAGGAATAACCCTAGACCAGAGCAGGTTAAGCACATGCCTGAAGGGAAAGGAAAACATTACTATCATAGTAGAAAAATATCACTGTCAAAATTGACAGTTTTTGGAATGTAGGAGAAAAAAAGAAAGAATTAAAAAATTTCAAATATTCAAAAAGAAAGAAAAGGAAAATCGAAGTAAACTAAATAAACAGGACAAGTTACAGTGACAAGACAGCAGGAAGCAGCACGGGACTCACCGAGGCCGTGGGCCTGGTACTGCCGCCGCTCCCGCTCTAGGGTCTGCCTGATGGCCGCCTCCCGAGAGCAGTGCCTCCGGCCCTGCCTGTCCTTGAAGCTGTTCCGCAGCTCAATCTGCTCCAGCTCGCTGCTGAATCGATTCAAATACCTGAAAAACAAGATGGTCTGACTTACAATGTCTGTTTGGCGTACCTTACTTCATTTAAAACATAATCCCCAGCCACTGCCTGTCCTTCTCAAGTTTTCATTTTCCTCTAGACTCCTTCAAGTTCTCAGACCTCAGACGTTTTCTTGATAACGCAACCACTTTCAAAACTTCTGTGAACAAATCAAAGCCTGCATTACAATGTCTATTAAACTCCAGGTCCTCACACCCCACTACCTCCTGGATGTCTCCATCTGGCTTACCAGGTGACATCTTAACGCGCCCTCTGCCCTGCCCCTGGTCCCCTCCGAACCTGCCCCACCTCTGCCCTGGCCCCGCCCTCATTCACGCAGAGGAAGACTGGGTCACCCTGACTCCTCTCTCCCCTTTATGCCACATTCAAGTCTTCACTGAAGATGGAGACTTTTACCCCCCCTTAAACTCTCTGGACATTTCCATTTCTCTTTACCACACTGCTCCCACCACCACCTCTTGCATCAGCCTCTGAATAGTCTGTCCCCTCGTCCACTTTCCTCACTCTCAAAAGTTTCAATGTGAGCATCGCACCTACTTGCTATTCAAAGTCTCCTATGACTCCCACTGTCCTTGGGTAAAGTTCAAACTCTTACAATGACATCTGAGATCTTTATGTGTTGGTTGATCATTCAAACTGTCACAATTCCCTCCCGGAACCTATTATCTCAGTGATAGTAAATGCCTGGCAGATCACTAAATATGCTGCTCCCATCCCCAGGTCTTTCAGATCTTGTTCTCTCTGCCTAGACACTCTTCAAACTACCTCACCTCCATCTGCTAACCTCCATCTTCAGATGTGAGTTCTGATGTCATTTCTCAAGGAAGTCAAGAAACTGGGTTACCTGCCATTCTGAGGCTCAGAAAGGTGATGAGCCTACTAAAATGACTAAGCTAGTATACAAATCCAAAAAGTCTTTATAACAAAGTCTATCTGCTTGTCTATAAATCCAGAACAGAACTCTGCATCTTGCAGAACCAAGTTGGGGAAATCTTCTTACTGACCCCTTGCTCATTAACGTGCCCAGTGTTTACCTTTCAGTTAATTCACAAGCATCTCTTTTTGAATATCCTACTTTTTTGGGATCAAGGTGATTTTGAAACCACTGCAGTTTTTCACCTATAACAGCAAGTACCAAAACAGTTTAACACCACAAGTCATCATTTAAGCAGAGGTATTCATTATAATTTTCAACATCAATGTGTTTAAAACAGTATCAACATTTATTTCAAAGTTAAATATAAAGTTTTGTGTGGGCTCAAAGCTAACTAAACCAGCCTGTCAGAAACTGAACTGTCACATTTTAATTTGGGGAAGAGACAAAGGTAGGAAGGATGCTTTTCTGTACGTATTTCTTATCCAGTAAGGATACAAAACATTTTTTAAAAGAAAGAATACACTAAAAGAACATGAAGTTCCAAGCATTTATAAAGCGAAGGACAGAACTTGTCTGAAAGGGAGTTTGATTAGATTAATGAAGAGCATGGTATGTGCTGAACTTTTAAAGAGCAGCAGGCACGATGTCCAGGCACAGGTCTTGACTTTTACAATCCTATGACGATTATTATTATTACCTCCATTTAGAAGAGAAAGGTTAAGTAACCTGTTCAGGGCCTCAAAGTCAGTAAATACACACTAAGCATACAAGATCTGCCGTATACTACGCAGAATAACTGACATGTACTATCAAGGAGCTGGCAGACTTCGTGCTTATGAGTCGATCTGACCATAGCGGTGCCACTTTCAGTAAGATTTCTCAGTATTATAAATCAAGAAATGGCCCTACCCAGGATTACTGATAAACCATTTACAAATATGATTCTGCTGTCTGATAAGGCAGTAGAGTGAACAGTTTGAATATCTTTCATTTTAATTATAAAGCCTAGTAGCTACTCTTTTGAAATCTCAGACTTATCAGATAACCTTACCAATAATAAATCTGATCACACACCCACACACACACATAAAAGGACTGTGACACTGAGATATAGACTGAGGATATATTCACATCATTAAACATGAATTCCTGTTTCCAAAACACTTCATAATTCTAATTGTTAGGAAGCTAGAATTAAACTGGAGAGAGGGGGGGGGGATGGATAAAGGTAGATACTAAACAATTTCTAAAAACCTGAGCTAGACAGTAACACTGTTCTAACAGTTTAATGACTGACTTTATTTTAATCAAGTCTGGTAGAAAAAAATCACTTAATCTGACAAAATCACTTTTATCTGGTAGAGATAAAAACAGCATTTCACTAAGAGAGTCAAGAGAAAATAAGTAAGGTAAGAACTTCAAACAAGTAAATCCACTTTCCAATAAGGCTGAGACGCAACGCCTTTTCATTCTTCAATCTCGGAGAAAAAGTGCATGTGTATAGAAAACTTGCAAAACAAGTTTTAAAAATCTGAAAAAAACAACAAAAACTACCCAAAGAACCTTAATTCAAAGATCACTTTTATGCATATGAAATTAATTTTCTTAAAGAAGAAACACTGACACCGTGCTTCTCTTTTAAATCACTGAAACAAAATGTTACTAGAAATTTTCTTCTGCTCTGCAGTGACTAAAGGACACCTATAAAACTGGTCTTGAAAACACAAAGGAAAGCTTGTCTGAATTTTGTAACATGCATAATGCTTGTGCACAGAAGAGTAACGAGGACCTTCTAGAAAACAGTGCTGCCATCAAGACCAAAATGCATCACTGTCATCTTTTAAACTTCAACAGGAATCAAACAAAATGTTTACTTTTCATAAATTTGATACAAATGATAACAAAGAAAAAGAACTCATTTACTCTCAGAAAATGGCCTACAGGATCATGAGCCTCCCACTGTTGCTATTTTGAATTTTAATCCATTCAGGGATGTCCCTGGCAGTCCAGCGGTTATGTCTGAGCTTCCATCGCAGGGGGCGTGGGTTTCTCTCTGGTCAGGGAACTAAGATCCCACAGGAGGACAAGAAAAGAAAAGAAAAAACTCTTTTCCATTCAGAAAAGAGGGACGCTAGTGAGAGGGTAACAGGCAGGAAGGCTGCTGCTGCTGCGTCGCTTCAGTCGTGTCCAACTCTATGCGACCCCATAGACGGCAGCCCACCAGGCTCCCCCGTCCCTGGGATTCTCCAGGCAAGAACACTGGAGTGGGTTGCCATTTCCTTCTCCAATGCATGAAAGTGAAAAGTGAAAGTGAAGTTGCTCAGTCGTGTCCAACTCTTAGCGACCCCATGGACTGCAGCCCACCAGGCTCCTCCGTCCATCGGATTTTCCAGGTGAGAGTACTGCAGTGGGGTACTATTGCCTTCTCCGGGCAGGAAGGCTAGGGATCTCCAAATGGAGGCAATAGGCTGCAATCATCACAAGTTTTTTCTCTCTCTATGTCAGGAGGAAACAGACTAAAATTGTCAGATTTTTTTTTCCTTCTCCATACAAAATTAAAAGGAGGTTTCCTTTAAAATTCTGTTGCCATGATGACACCTGGTTCCACCTGAACTTAACTTTTCTCAGCCCTTAAGCTAACCAATGTGTTTCTCACAGAAATGTTTTTCTTAAGTTATGTTAATGAACAATGGATTTACCTTAGACTCTGTCTTTCTTCAAGTCGGTTCCAACTAAGACTCAGAACGGACTTGACAAACCAGTATGTTTTACTCTGGCAAATGTTCTCTTAAGCTATGTTAATGAGACTACAAATTTGCTTGGAAACCTGCCTTTCTTCAAGATTCATGGCAATCGTGTTATGGCCTGGGATGACTCACCTTGTGCCAATGTTATCTCAAAATACATGTTGTGGGTGAGGGGCCTGGTGCAAATCCAATGGATGCAGTGTTGTTCTGGTGAAAAGTTGAAATTGACTTGTTCCTTGACACAAATTTCCTCTTCATGGTGATGGGATTTGTAACTGTAGATTTTCTACACTCGTGTGGGTCCTGGGTACAGTGATGGGAAGTGGTCACACCCTGACCTCTAACCATAAGGGTGGTGGTGTCCCTGCCGTGACTCTGCCACCTGGACTTGGCTCCAGGAGACCCCAGGTATTTGGATTCAAGTTGGAACCAGATATGTGCCCAGATGCTGGATGGTGGCTTGCTCTTGCTACTGCAGCAGGCATGCTGTGATAAGATGACCCCAAGGTGATCTGGCCACAGTAGGAACACAGGCAGTGCTGGGTGTGCCACACAGTTCTGTCCAAAAGTTAGGTGGGCCAGATGCTTCTGAATAAGTGAGGCCTAGGGCATTCACACCAACCCCAAACTCCCACCAGCCATAGAGGCTGCAGGTCCCATCCACAGTGGGCCTGATGTGGTACTAGCAGACAGCAAGCTACTGTCTCCAGTACTGGGTACTGTGGTATCCACTCCAAAACCAGAAGTAGCAGATACATCCCTGGGGAAAATACCTGAGCTGTAGACAAAGGCCAGCTGCATGTTGATGGTGGTGGTGGAAGACAGGGGATCTGGTAAACCTGAATCCATTATCCTTCCTCTGGGTAGCTGGACTGCAGAAGAGGTTAGCTTTTTATCTTGTGCTAGGGCTAATGGGTTTCCCAGTGGAATAGACTTGTTAGGCTTCTTCCTATTGTTGGCCCCAGATGTGGGTTGGTGAGTTCTGGCTCCAAGCTTCTGGGTTTCAAGCTTCACGTGAAGCTGATGATGAACTGCACAGGTAAATAAGTCGAGGCTTGGGTCCAGGCATTGCTGCCACTGGGTGCTGTGTTCTCAGAACCAGGAACAGCCATGTGATGGGAGGAGTGGTTCTCCTTGGAGTCAGAGGTAGACTGGAAAGTAACGTCTGAGGAGGAGGTGCATCCATAGCATTGATGTCAAAGACTGGTTTGACATCTGTAGAGATGCTGACTGCTGAAGCCATAGGTGGGGGTTTGGGGAAAACAGGAGCTGAAGCCATAGATGGGCGTTTGGGGAAAAGAGGAGCTGGAGCCATAAGTGGGGGGCTGGGGGAGGCAGGACCTAAAGCCGTAATTTGGGGACTGAGGGAAACAGCCAACGCCTTAAAGAGGGGCCAGGGAAGACAGGACCAAAAGCTGTAGATGGGGGCTAGGGGAGAGAGTGGACGGAACCCTAGATGGAGGGGTGGGGGAGACACTGGCTGGAGTCCTACATAGTGCGGCCGGGGAGGACAGGACCCAAGGCCGTAGATGGGGGCCCAAGGGAGACACCAGCCGGAGTCCCAGGTGGGGGCCCAGGGAAGGCAGCAGGCTGATTCCCAGGTGGGGGCCTGGGG